TGTCTTTCTGTCTCCCTTCTCGTTCGCCTTTCGCCACATTGTATTCTATTATTACTATCCTCATATCATTCCATCTAAAATTTTAGGGGAATGAGATAGAAGATTGTAGTAGTAGCAGTAGTAGGAGTTGTGAAAGCATAAAAGGAATTGAAACGTATTCACATTCATCCTAATCTATCCATCCATCCATCCTACATGGATTGTAGAATAATAATAATAAAATAAAAAATAATAGAATCTCAGAATTCAATCTGATGTTTTTGTGTAATCTTTCTCTTTTTTTTTCGAAAAAATGGTCTGTTTTGTTCATGTTCTGTTCATGCATTCGTGTTCGGTGTGTGTGTGTGTGCGCACCTAGTGTTGCAGTAGTCGTGTTCTTATTATCGATTTTATCTACTTCAGTTATAGACTCCTTTTTACATGTAGTTAGTTAGTTAGTTACTTGGTGAGTTGGGAGCGTCTTTCATTCTCTCTCTCTCTGCCTCTTTGTCACACAGTCTGTCTTTAGGCTTTTAGGTGAGGAAAGAATATTTATGGATATACGCATGCATGCTTCAATCAACGTGTTGTATGGCCGTATTATATATTGATACATGTCCGTGGGTATATATGCAAAGCAAGAGAGAGAGACAGAGGCTTGTATGCTCAAAGATGTAGACATGTTTCAACGTGTTTTGTTGCCTCTCATAAAGACAATATAACAAAAAAAACATGTCATCGGATTTATTCATCACATTCTATGTAGAAGATATACAATATTGTGTGTGTACCTATGATGCGCGTATATATATATATATATATATACTTTTTTCTGCTGTCTTTTTGTTTGTTTGTTTGAAGCATTGAAGCATGAGAAATCAACCCCCCCGGGTATTAGCGGTGGTTGTGGTTGTGGTGGTGGTGTTAGTTTGTGGTTGAAAGTGAGTAGATATTCTCACTATTATACATCTACTTCCTTTTTCTCTTCTTCTGCTACTATTCTGTCATATTTGGCTATTAGACAAAGAGAGACAGTTTGGATTACATTACGATGACTGACGAGACCGGCTTAGTCTGTTTTGCCTCAATGTGTTGTTTTGAATGCACTATGTATGCATATATATATTTATATTCTAATTTTTTTGCTCTAGTCATTATGACAACCGTATCCTGATTAAAAAAAACTGAGTAATTTTCTAAATTCCGTTTCAACTTTACCGTTGATTGATTAATTGGACCGACGCGCTCGACCTTCAGGTTGATATTTCGGCTCCTCCTTGTGCACAGATCCATCGATGATGTCTGATTATTATTATTAACTTGAAGTAAATTTGTCGATGGGTGTGACTCACTGACTGACTCGCAGTGAAAAAACACCACTAGGATGCGCATATGCACAAGGGTTCAACATGTCAACTTGAAGCTGTGAACACTTTGGTCCAATCACAATCAACCGGGAAAAGTCGATTACTGATGCGCGTTGGACAAGTAAGAGTTAGCCCAGGTGGTCTAGTGGATGATGCTTTGACGTTTGAAACGAGCCTCAGTGGGGAGAAAGTAGATATACCCAGATACGACGAAATGCACATCCTGGTGGATATCAGCGGTAGTTACTGTCCACCAATTTGCTTCAAGATACAGTTTAACTTGTAGATCATCAAGTGTGTATGTCTGTGTTTTTGATCTTCTGGAACGTCCAGGTGGATGTAATGACCCAATTCAGTAGTTGGAGTAAGTTTATTGGAGTGCTTCTCACCAGTTCACCACCACATCTGTCATAGTCGCCGACTGCACAGGACCATAGAGGTTACTTCTAGACTGTTAAGTAAACAGGTGAAGTCAATTAATGAGAAGGTTGTGAAGTGACATCGTTTGAAATGGCTAGGACACATGTTACACATGCCAAGCCAACATTCCTTGTCGAGCAGTGCTAGCCGACGTGGTAGCATTGCGTTGGAGTGTGAAGTTCTTAAAGTAAAACAACGTATCTTCAGTCTGATGACAGGTCTGGTCTGCTTGCCTAGAGTCTTCGTTAAGACTTTAAGCGTCGATGACTGGATAGAGAGATTGTTGGTGATTATGATGGTTCAAGGGGATTCACTCTTGGAGTTAAGGCATTATTTTCGCTATTCACCATGTGGTCATTCTTTTTCGTTCATATATATATTTCTGTCTGTTTGCAGTCCATTTTTGTACCTTTATATGCACGTGTGTTTTTTGGTGTGTGGCAAGTTGAACTGTTGCATATTTGTGCAAAGTTCTGCACGTTGAAAATTCATTTGAGTCACTGTGTAATTCACACATTTTTTTGGTTTTTATGGTTAGTGATATTATACCTGGTTTTCCCCAAAGTTTAGAGCAGTTGGAGTGTGTTTTAAGCCTATGTGCCATTACTGATTGAAATTCTAGTATCTTAACAGTAGATTTGCAGTTACACGATGAGGCGCAAGCCTGTTGTATGACTGTCAGGGTGCCTCAACCTCGTTAGGTGGGAGTTCAGCACATAGGCCAATACACTACTGCTCCTTAAAGCCTTCACCAGCGTTCATTGGCTTAACCACTTTACTTTCAGCCAATGGGTGTTGGGTTTGAATCTCGCTACACCTAATTCACTCTTCACAGAATAAATGTGACTCATAGTTTTGTATCCGGTAGCCGAGTTCTATTTAACTGTGGTTATTGAGTGATAAATAACATGAATCAGTTTCTACTTTGCTGTCATTTCCTTGTCTGAAATTGAATATTACATTTTTCAAAAAAATAATCTATTTTAAGTCTTAGTTTGTACGGATTTCAAGTCCGCCCACTGCTGGATATGTGTTAGAGAGCCACTGAAAACCGGCCCCGGAGCACTAGCTAGCTGTTTCTTCCCGGTTTGAGAATTGTTGGGAGTTACGCATCTACCGCCATGGTTCGAACCCACCAGGACCTTCTGGTTACCAGTCAAGCTCGTAGACCATTCAGCCATAAGGGCAATGACAATTCGTGATTCTAACTCTACTGGCATCAGCCAGTGTGGTCGACGGCGAGTATTCGTCGTCACACCCAACTTCTTAGTAAAGCTCTTCCAGACAGCTTCATTCTGAAGTTAGCCAATAGCGTGTATCAGAATAATTTTCCGACCATTATCGGGGGTACCCTCTAGCTTAAAGGTCCATGAGCTTGCCATGTAACAGTGAGGTATTGGGTTTGAACAGTGGCGATGGGTGTGTACTGCCGACGAATCGCAAAAGAGGTAGGACTAAAGAACTGTCTAGTAAGTACTTCAGCGATTTTCTACCTCCTATCTATGTGGTCAAAATTGAAATATCGTATTATACTTTGTGTAGTACTATGAGAATCAATGAGTGTTACTTTTTGTACATAAACTTAAAAATAGTCGTCCACTTAATCGTTTTAATTGAAGTAGATTCAGGTAATGTGTCAAGTCAATTGACCTTAATTAAGTGGTATGTTAAATTGTCAATTTTTTGGTATACTGTTCGCCAATTTTGTGTATATTTAGTTGTACATGTTACCTGTTCATACATGTTACCTGAATGATAATATTGAACAGTTGTTAGCGGGGAAGATACTAGATTTAATTATTTGTTGTTTATTTCCTCCTATTTGGCTTACCCAAAAACTTCCTGTTATCTCTTGTTTTGTGAATGCAGTTTGAACTGTATTGACTGACCAGGAGAGTGTGATCAATACTTCATACTATGCCTACTTTTCCTTTATCGATTAATTCACATAGTCATTTTATTGCGGTCTCATTTACGATTCATTACACCTGTCAGTTAAATTCATCGTTGACTGAAACAATAGACTCTGAGTTTTACATTTTATTGTGTTTTCTTCGATTTACACGATTAAGGTGGTTCATACTCCCTATAGTCCCTAAGCAGTCAGTTACTGCATCCCTGTAGTTATATTATTCGGCGTAGATGAGTGTGGGTCAGTGAGAAGTGCAACTTATTAATCCAGGTTTAGAGTTGATAAGTTTACTTTTAGCCGTGAAATTTGATTTTTGTCTTGGATAACTAATAGTCGGGTTAATTTTGATACCTGAAAGCTGCACTTTCGAAATTTTGAATATCCAATTATAAAGGGGCAAATGTTGTGCATTGTCGGTAAATTCACGTATTTACGTGTAGTTGTGTGTGTGTGTGGGTGGTGGTGGTGGTGATGTGATGGACGAGATTTCCAAACGTTTTATGAAAGCATACGTCAATTTGAGCCACCTCTGGCGTCGTCGCGACGTTAGTCTGGCTGTCAAATGTTGGGTATGCAATGCTTCGATGCACGCTGTCTTGCTCTACGCCTGTGAAATCTGGCCTCTCCGAGCTGAGGATGTGCGGCGACTCTGCGTAATCGATCATCTCTGTCACCGTAGAATTGCTTGCGTTCGATGGCATTATCGTGTGAGTATTTTGGAGTTCCGGGGACACAGTGGTAATCACCATTCGTTGAGTGTCGTCGTGATCTCGGAAACACCAGTTTCCTTATCTTCTACATGTGTTAAGAATTTCATACGCGCGGCTTCCGTACTGCTGTCTTGTTCACTAGCCTTCGGATGGGATGGAAAATGCGGAGAGGTGGTCAGCTCATGTTGTTCCATCGTGGGCTGATGGATATTTGTTTTAGATTAGCATTGGCTGGTAGGTCACGACTCACTTGTAGATGTCCGAAAGACAGCTGGAATTGGTGGCCTCAAAATGCTATCAGGTATTGCAAAGACTCGCAATCAATGGCGAACGTGCTTCAGTTTCCTTCTTTCATTCCTTTCAGAGAATAATTGATGAATGCTGTTTGGTTTTTTTAGATATAACTGCTTTCTTAAATAAAGTCTTGTATTCACTCTATACCTATCTTTTCATAAGTTGTTTTATTATTATTATTGTAGCGCCATATTACATAACAGCCCTTAGTCCTGGGACCTTTCTCCATTTGTTTCTATTTCTGTCCATCTACATACTATTGCATGTCATTCAGAAAAAAGTCATCATCTAACGCCTCTTTTGATTTCCGACTTTCAGATGATCGTAAACTATTTGTTGGCATGTTGGGAAAGCATCAAACAGAAGAGGATGTACAGAATTTATTCGCTCCATACGGGCAAATTGAAGAGTGTACTATCCTACGGGATCAGAATGGAATGAGTAAAGGTAGGCATCTCTTTGTTTGTATGCTGAAGAATTTTTCACTTTTGTTCGCCATTCATTCTGCTGCTCTATATAGAAAATGTAACTTATGGCATTAAGCGCTACACTTTGACCCCGGTCAAAATTCACAGCACATCAGTTTCTCATATTCATTATTCTTCCTTCTGATTGCTCTCATCATTCATACTAGAAGGCGAGTAAGGGAATAATTTAAATTTTATCCACTATTCGGTTCCACTCGACTGGACTTTCTTCTTCAACACATGTCTAGTGTGTATATCCACCATTTCCTGGTGCATATTTGCTAGGCGATAGCTTATTGTTCCGTTCGTAATGAGAGAGTTCCACATCACTTATCCTTTCCGGTTAACCATCTCATCTTCAGTATGGAGTGAAGGCAGACAGGTGTTAGAGGGTCGCTTTTCGTTTTGTGCCCATGTCTTGTGCCCATGAACCCCATAGACACACTCACACTGGCAAACGTGACCATAGATGCTGAATGGTGTGCAGTAGATTTTCGATATCGATTTCAGATTCGTGAAGGTTTTTCTCGCTTTTCTGATCCTAGCTGATTTTGAAATCTCCAGCCGTGCTCTGTTTACTCTACCAGTTTATCCGAAGAAAATGTAAGAAAGAGGGAAGATGTGTGTGGTGCACTTGGCACCTAGCTACTTTAACCTGGTCGCATCTTTTCGACTCGCTTATATTTGAGTGTGTTTCCATCTCTATATTTGAATGGTGGTATGGCATTTCTGTTTATCTCCTCTTCTGATGGATTGAACGGGATCACATCTCTTAGGGAGTGTATGGCCCAGTCCAGATCTCCTCTGCCTTTGCCTGACATTTCCGTGGCGTCCTCAGCACCCCTGTCTTCCCCAGATCCTGGACGCTTATCAACTAGCTGATTTTGAAATCTCCAACCGTGCTCTGTTTACTCTACCAGTTTATCCGAAGATAATGTGAGGAAGAGGGAAGATGTGTGGGGGTGAACTTGGCACCTAGCTAGCTAGTCTAACCTGGTTGTTACCGGTAGTTGTCTGTAGAATATTATGGAATATTTCATTCAATATTGTTTTGTCATTATCTTGTCATAGTGTCACACAAATCAATTGATATTTATATATGTATCTATGTAAATATGTGTTTTTGATTTTTCGTACAAAGCGAAATTGTGTTTGTGTGTGTATGTGTGTATGTTTGTGCGCATAGAGATTGATTCGCCTCTTGACGTGTTTATCTAATCTCTGTTGTTCTCTTCTCTGTGTTGTATCAATTTTTGTAGGCTGTGCTTTTATTAAATTCTCAACGAATACAGAGGCGATAAACGCTATCGATCATTTGCATAACAGTCAAACTATGCAAGTAAGTTTTTTTTCTTCTTAATATTCATCGCGTTATTCGTTCTGTTATCGTCTGTCTAAAATACTTGTGTTGAATTCCTTCGGTACTTCTTTATTCCCCTTCTCTTGCTTTCTCAATTAGAGTGCATAAATTAGCCAGCTGAAAGAGGTGTATTCGTATAACTGAAATATTGCTGAAATAAACTCTTCAACCATAGGAAGTTGTATCAGTGCCAATGAAGCGGGTTACTAGGGAGATCTCATGTGTCACTTGCTGACTTATCACTATTGATCAAAAGATGTGTATACTGCACAGCAGCAGTTCTCTTCGTTCTCCTTTATCGCTGTGAGTGGGACACGACCATTGACAGCGTGGAAGATATGGAAAGACTGGCTTGCTGGCTAGCTGTCTTTGTTCATAAGTGTCTGCAATGTATCTCCCATGTTATGTGGCTAGTGTAATAAGGTGGGTGATATTGAGGTTAGGCTTCGATCGGGTGTTAGGTAAGGGGAGGGGAAGTCAATCGACGAGTTGGTGAAGCAGTTACATCGATTGAGATAGCTAGGACAACTGTTGCGTATGCTGAAGAACGTTAGTTAGCTGATATGGAAGGAGGTTGGAAAAGAACAGCAACCGATGGTGTTCAAAGCGAAAGTAGACATAAATAAATGAGGTTTTTAACAGTTAGTTTGAGCCAATCACGTATGGAGTTGTAGACATCTTGTGTGGTTTGGTGTCTTTAGGATGGATGCTAAAGACCAACGAGGGCTGGAGACGTTTGGTGATATGGCACCAAATCGTTATCGATGATGGCGCAGATGCATCCGCTCTCTGTGATTTGCCGTATGCTATAAAATGTGCTACGCATGCGCCTGACATTCAGAGGACCCAAAGCCGTTCTGGCAGCCCACACCTCCCCACAAGAACGGTAAAGATTTCCCTGACTGATCCCATGTTTTCGTCTCATCATCACTCTAGCTCTTTTACAACTTGATGCATTCTATGTCAACCAACATTTTCTGTCGAGGAAGGTAATGGCTAGACATGCATGAGTAGCAAATGTCCTAACCATCTCAGTCTATGTAACTTCACAGCCTCGTCGATTGATTTCCCCTCCTCACCTAGCACTCGGCCAATGCCTAAGCTCAATATTGCTCACCTTGTTATACTACTTAACACGGGCGATAGAACGCAGCACCTATGACCAAAGACAGCTAGTTTTTTCATGTCTTCCACCCTCAATGGCCATGTCTTACAGCCATAAAGGATGTACAGAGTAAATAGCCTTTTTCATTGTGGTATAGGGTACAAAGTTATCGGTGGTTTTTAGCATTATCACAGTTCTCCTGAGACCCATCTTTTGTTTTTATGATATTACTTTTAGGGTGCATCTTCTCCATTGGTTGTAAAATTTGCTGACAATGAAAAGGAACGTTTAGTTCGCCGACATCATCAACAACAACAACAGAATACTGTAAATGGATCTTCTACTCCAGCATCTGCAGGATATGCTGGCAATAATATGAATCATGCTATGACTAATGGTCAGTTGAATGCATCGAATATATCATTGCAGCAGTATAATACTGCACAACAATCACTTCGTCCTTCTTGCACTAGTTATACTGATGCATCGAATATGGCAGCCATGGCAGCTGCAGTCGCCGCCTTCCAACAACAACAGCAGCAACCACTCGGCGCTGCCCCTGGCTATTCATTACAATTTCCAAGTGGCCAGCTTACAGTAAGTTTTTGTCCTCTTCTCTTGTGTGTTGTTGTAACAGAAGATAAGATCTTTTGATAGCGAACCTTTTTTTGAGGAAAAGCAAATCCTATTCATACATTAAAATTTGGCTAGGTCAGAGGAGAGTAAATTGTCCTGATTGGCTGGCACTTGACCCAAGGTTAAACAAGTTGTCCATAACGTAAACTAACTAAATCCAGATTTATACAATAAACACTTGCACTGCTGCAGCCATTAACTCGCTTATATTTGAGTGTGTTTCCATCTCTAGATTTGGATGGTGGTATGGTATTTCTGTTTGTCTCCTATTCTGGTGGATTGGACGGGATCACATTACTTGGGGTGAGTATGGCCCAATCCAGGTCTCCTCCACCTTTGCCTGACCTTTCCGCGGCCTCCTCAGCACCACCGTCTTCCCCAGATCCAGGACGCTTATCAACTGAAGCCCGCTAAAAGCTCCGTACGTCCCCTTCTTAATCAGCCCTCCGTGGGGTCTTTCTTCATTGTCCTAAGGCAGCGACACAATGTGGCGGACCTTTACTAAGGAAAAAGACGTAATATTTATATACGTTCTTGGCCACATTGAAGTTCATCTAGGTTAGGAGAATAAATTGTTCTGGTTAGTTGACAGTTGGCAAAAGTTGTCCAAACGGAGGTTTTTTCATGGCCTCGACGTAAACTAAATCCAGACATTGATATGAATTGTTCATTTCATTATGCGTACTTCCTATCAGTCAGCATCACGCCACATTGTTATAACACATTAAAATGTTTCTGTAGTATCTTCGTCCGCTTGCCACTTTCCTTACTTGATTTGTGTGTGTGTTTTCTATCTTTCTTGTGTTGTAGCCCGGTTTAATGCCCTCTTCCAATCCCAGTCCAGTTCCTAATGGTTTACAGAATTCCTCTGTCCAGTCTACCCAACACCAACAGCAGCAACAAGCCCAACAACAACAACAAAGTCAAATGGCACAACAAACAGCAGCCTCGGCATATTTCAATCCAATGGCAGCGTTTATGGCTGCAGCAGCTGCTATGCAGTATGCTAATCCACAATTAACCAACATGAATTCCTTGACCGAGAGTCAGGTGAATCGTTCCACAACTATCCCGTTACAATTGAATTCTATGGTTAGCCATCCATCGATTGCTGTTGCTCAGCATAATAATAATAATCATAATAATCCATTGACAGGGACTAGTGGTGGTCAGGGAATACCGAATGCTGCATTAGCCTCATTGGCTACTGGTTGTCCTGCTGCTGCTGCCGCGGCCGCCGCCGCTACGGCACTACAAAACAATACTCTACCTCAATGTATGTTAAACTTATAGATACATGTGTAATTTGTTTTCTATTATCTAACAACACAATTATTAATTCACAAAGTTAGTAGATAATGGCCAAGAGGTGTGATCTGATCGTTTGTGGGAGGATTGGTATACTGTCGAGAAGCTCAGACCAATGGAGTGGTCGTCCTAAGGGGACCCCGTGAGCCTTTGACCTGCAGCCTAATCCACAAGGCAGAGTATTTCAGCTCCCCATGGGGCAGACCGGCATGTCCTCTACTACCAGGTAGTTTACCCCACCTCTTGCATGGCCAAAACCACCTTCATGGTTTTATTATAGGTTTCGGTTTGAGCACCCCCCAAACCCTTTTTGAGGTGTATCACGGACAGCCTTAAATCATCTGTCTCTTAGCAAAGAGGCAGTCTACAGCTCTCTCTGCGCGGTGCCAAACAGATATCAAAGCCTCCATAGATTGATTCCAGTTTTCCGTTCGAACATGCGTAAACTCTTTTCGAAACCTGATCGCAAATCACAGTTAAGATCTCTTGACCAAGGAAGGCGGTGACTCAGTGTGCATCACACTTGACCTAACAATCTCAGTCAATGTAGATTCACAATCTCATCGATATTGACTCTACCCTTAACATCGAAAATGCTTACTGTATAATACCCCTAAGTACGGGAGATAGAATACAAGCATCTGTGGTCAAAGGCAGTTTCGATCACGATGGATCGTATAAATAAGCGTCCAAAATTCTGTTGAAACAGCCATACAGTACCCCCTCCCCAGCAATGTTGTGTGCGGTTGTTCTCTAAGTGATTGTTGTCAACCCGTGAGATCACAAATGTGGATTATACTACTATGGAGACAAAATGAAGCAGTCTGCAAGGAACTCCAGTGACAGTCCATAGTCTACTCTTTCATGTATATATACAGTATGGCTACTCATGTAAGAATATACTGACAGACTACCTAATCGAACGCCTCTACTCAAGATTTACACTCATTTTGTACTTATAAGATAAAGATAATAAACTTCCTTTCTTTCTCCGACTAGGTTCATTGTTTCCGTTGACTGATATGGCAACACTAGCTGCTCTTACACAAGTAGGCAATGGCACTTTAATGTCTGATGCTATGACAACATCTGGTGTATCTGTCGGTAATGAATTTCACAATGCCCTTACCACTGGATTACTCATGTCTGCATCACCGTCAACAGTATCACCAAGTTTTGCCAGTATTGGTAATACTGTCACAGGAGGTCAACCTGTCTCAATAACTTCATCTGGTGCTGGTAATATTTTAGCTTCATCACCTGGTATGATGACACCAGCCGCATCTACACCACCAACTGTCAGTCCAGGTTTGCTGACACCACAAACGTTAACCAACGATCCAACAAGTTTGTATGCCGCTGCTGTTGCACTACAGAATTCAGCAACAGGTCAAACGAATCCAAATGCATTACAATTTCAACAACTACATCCGTCATTCGCTGCTGCCGCTGCCGCTCAATCTGCGGCTTTAGCACATGGTGGGAATAATGTGTTGAATTCTTATTTGACGGAGAATGCAGCATTACAGCATGCTGCAGCGTTGGCCGCTGCTGCTGCAGCAGGTGAGTTTTGTCCACAGTTTTTGTCTCTGTAAACAAAGTACTCATATTTGATCACAGATTGAAAGCAGTTAGTGGACCATTGAAAACCAGTACTGGACAGTTGTTGTGTCATAGTTAGCATTGAGAAACCAGTCGTCACACTAAACATTCTAACGGAATCCCAGCTGGAAACGACAAATCTTTTCTACCCTGGGATGATGGCATAGAGAAGAGATCGTGTGAAGAGGATATGAAAGCTTTTATGGACATTCATAGAGAGGGAGTCGGTCAGAAAAATTGGAGTGTAGACAACAGGGCGAAATGGGAATATCCTGCTGAGGCCCCTCCTCTCTCTCCTATGTTGCACTTAGAACACAATGGAATGATAATTCATGTCTTGAAGGCTCTTAGTTAAGCTTGATGCATGATACTGCAATATGCAGATGAAACTAGGAAATCAAATGATAAAGAGGAAACCTTTCTGTGAACGCCATACACATTGCATAGCGGCATTCATGATGAATACAGTGATCGAGTGGTTGTTTCAGGGTTAATTATCTTGAAGTTTCTTCGGTTACTATTAACAGCTATAGTTTTTTTTCTCGACTTACCTTAAGACTATTTATGTAAATCTTCCGTAGGAATCGTAAAGTATGTACAAATAGCATTGTTTTCAAGCTTCAGAGACAATGTGAATTCGATTGGAAATTTTACACAGTTGGACGTGGTTATCAGACTGTAGTGAATATTGTTTTTAGTCAATCGGTTCAACCTATGTGATGGAGAGAGATATTCTGGCACTACAAACCGACGGGCTGTAACCTGAAATCCTTCTTACCGGCATCTGGCTCAGTGACTATTCAACTTTAATATTTTCTCGTGGTTTTTTTGTAGTCTTGAGAGGATCTCCTTAATTTTCATAGGTGGTAACATCGCACTAACCGACACGTCGTACTGTAAATTCATATTGTTCAACGGTTGGGTTGACAAATAAGGAGTGTGTCAATTTAGTCTACATTATTCTAATGCATTTTGCACTAAGCGCATTTATGCATTACGGGCCTAGGGTAAATAATACATAGAGTCCGAAATGTCACTAATATGAATGGTAGTCAACAAATGATGTCTGGTGGTGTTATGCCTAGAATTTCAAGTCAAGTATATTGTTGTGGTGCTTACAGAGACACTCTGAGTTCAACGGTAAGGGCTGATCATATCAGCCATATTCTAGCCGAGGTCCGTCCCCATTCGCCTATTGACTGAAAATTTAATCATAAGACCTGTTATCGTCACATTTACACATCTTTTTGGCATTTCTACTCAAAGTGGAGAGTAGTGTAGTTATTGATTTCCGGTTTGTTTTTGGTGTTGTACATACACACAAAGATCATATTTGAGATGGTTATTTGAGTCTTATTTTCCTATTTTTTTCCTCATATTTTGTTGTTTTCAGCATCAGGACAATCGTTTGTCAGTGATCCTATGCATCAATTGTATGCTGGTCTTCAAGCCTATGGTTTAGGTGAGCTGTTTATGGAGTTTCTCCTTGATAAAAATAATTTATTTTGCTGTTTTTTGTCACAAGAATAAGTCAGTTTATGCTTAAGGCGAAATTGCAACAAATTTTGTGTATTTTATCCTTTTTTAGTTGTGGTAAGGCGGTAATGGTAGTTGCTCAGTAGAAAGACATGTGATGAAGGACTTAAGTTGTCCCTGTGAATACAGTCTCTCAAAGTGATCTCAGGATCGCAAATAGTTTTCACTGTTGAGTAGTATAGACGTCAACATTGAATTTCCTATGCTCCCCCTCTCTCTCAAGTGATTGATTTTCTAAGGGTTGGGGGGGGGGTGAGCGTATATGGTTTTTGGTGTCAGTCCCATAAACTACTTGGCAATAGAATGTTTTATAAAGCATTTCAATGACCTAATTGGTCTCGACAGCGTAGTTGAATCTCTTACAATGCGATTATCATCTACAAAGACATCATCCTTGAGTATTTGGGATGGAAGGCCAGTTTCACAGACAGTCATTGTATGCCTTTGCTTTTCTGCCTTCATTACAATGAAGTTACTGTGTATTTTTGAGTCTTGTGTTCTCTCTGAATATGTCAAATTGTGTGTAAGTGTTTGAGATGTTTTGTTTTTGGTTTTGATAATTCTGGTATTTCTGAGTCACCTTATGCATGTGTCTTTGTGTGTTTGCATTATTTCAGCTTATCCTGCTGCAGGAGCCGCGTATACTTCATTCTCTAATTTGCATCATCAAGCCTTGTCTATGCCAGTTCAACAGAAAGAAGGTACCAGGGAACTCATATTGACAGGTAGATTATATTATTGACCATTATTATTATTGCTTTATTATTCTCTTGGCTCTCAAGTGGAACATATAGGGCTTCTATGGCACATTTCCATTTCATCCTTATCTCAGTGTAATCCTTTGCGGCTGACCACATGATCGTCCATAAGCTGTCATATCCTCCATCTCCTCTTTGGAATAAAACACAACTCTTATTTGCCTATTCGGGTTCCGCTCAAAGCTTCGCACCTGGTGAGCGTGGAGTCTCGCAACGGTCTCCTCACACTGTATGTCTATTTCCTTCGGCATTCTTATTAGGTGATAGCATCTTAGTTGGTTGGTTGTCAGAATTCTTTGCTACTTGTCCTTCCCAACCTGCTGACTTTCTGACCTTCAGTATCAAGACAGAGACGACAGCTGTTAATGAAAGTCTTCAGCTGCCTGATTGATGTGCTTTTTCCGACTCACCGAATCTCTGAATGATTTAGTAGAAGTAGTTATTGATGTATGAGATTGGTGTTGAAGATGTGAAACTTTGTTGTTTTTCTGAGTACAGAAGATTTCCCAACTGATTTCGGAGGGATTTCCGATTCTGCTGGGCTTTGATATCCTCATCTCCATGTTGTTGCCTGTAATTGGAACTATGCTGGCCTCATTGACATTTCATCCTCCGATGATGATAGTGATTGGTGCTTTCCTCCTCAATGTTCACTTGTAGTCCTGTCTGACTGTGTTTGATTGGATTAGATTTCAGATAAGTTATCCTGACACAGTTGTGTTGACTAAGGTAGAAATTAGACGGTGACAAATACAAAACATGTTACTGCTAGGCTTTTCAAATACCCTAAATCATCTGGCTAAGTATTGATGATACGAGTGTATGTTTTAATACTTTGAAGATAATGAGTTCTATTTTTCTTCGGCGTTCCGAGGAGAGTTTAAGGGGTTTTCAAAGTTTGAGTTATGATGCTTCATTAGTGGTGACACGTTGTCTTATTATTTATGCGATGGGAGTTCCCGCTAGCTTCATGCCTAACCCAACTATACTATACAGAGCTCACTGAAAGAGGTTTAGGAGTGCATCGGCAGAGGAATCGAACCACTGGCCACTTTTATGTGGTTGACGAGCATTCTGCACTACTGAACTACAGATGTCTAACTGTCCGTGCTATTGTGTGTGTGGAAACAATTTGAGGTGAATTTTGTTCTCATCTGTGATGAAACCTAGGAATTGAGCGCTGTCTCTCCTCCCCCCAAACACAGCTTACATGAGTGAAGACTAGCAAGTATCCTCAGTTAAGCAAGCATGGCATCCAAACAACTAACAGTTCCAAAGCTCTCTTTCTTTGATTAGGATATTTGTTACTAATATACCGGTCGGTATGGTTGGCTAGTCATTTCTCGGTGTTGTGTTGCACCTGACTGACAAGAAACTGAAATGAAGTGGTATTGACGTACAATAAACTTAGGACAACTATTTCTTTATGAGTTTGTGACTTTCCCAAACATATTCTCATACATGATTGAATTCGGGATTGTGAACCTAGATGCTCAAGTCATATTTCTAATTGGCTGGTTGACTGGCCACAGTCTATTTGAAACATTTCATACAACAGTCCCCTTTTTTTAAATATGAGCAGAATAACATGAGTCCATTTTACTTCGTTCTTTCGCATCAGCTGCCTAACACCTATTATGATCCTTAATAAGTCAGTATATGATATTAAATGGTTGGAGGCAATCGGCCACAGGAAGCCTTGCTTCACCTAGGTTTCGTGCTAGTTGGCACTCACCAGTCAGTTAGCAAGGCGTATCTGCAGTCACCTTGAAGGAACTCATGTTCCTGCTCCTGAGATTCGAACGCGCGTCACCCAGTGCTGCAATCAGAGACGTTACCACTGAGCTATTCGGCCTCGAGATTGACCTCTTGTAGGACTGTTTTGGATATTTTGATTTGACACTAGTAACTAGTGTGATGACTGATAGAATTCAGTCTGCACCAAAGAGAGGACTAGACGCATCACACTAGTTACTAGTGTCAAATCAAAAGTCAGTATATATATATATATCGGTCTTGTTAGAGAGAAGTTTCTCATTAAATCAATGGAGATATTTGTTAGGGTGATGACAAAAATTTAGTATCAGTTACGTAGGTCAAAGTTGGGTGTGTGAAAGGTCAAATAAAAGGATGATGATGATGTTATATGGTGAGTAGTGCTCAAAAGGTTGAGATGAATTTTCTCTTATGGACATCAAAGTGAAGAAGTTGGGGGGGGGGTTGCGGCTTGCAAAGATAAGTTAATGAAATTTTAAAACAAATAGTTACAAAGGGATGAGTCACCAAGGTAATTGAAGTCCAATGATAGATTCGTTTTGGACAATACATTGGTCAGGTTTCAGGCGTTATATTGACATACCCTCAGCAAGTATGTAAAATGTTTTACACTGGTTTAGTATATTAGAAGACCATTATAGGTCATACGCAGCTGACGAAAACTGACGAAGTGAAGGGGACCCATGTCATTCTGCACTAATGTTTGTCTTTTAGGTACCAGAAATACACCCACCCACCTTCTATGCACCAAATACGCTTTTAATTTCGAGCCAAATGCTTGATTTATTTTTGTATTTCAATCGGTCAAATTTCCGAAGAGAGAGACGAGCGTAGGGCTTCATGTTTAGGCCTATGGAGTTTAACCAGCAGTGGCGTCGGTTTTCTTTCATGCGTTGGGAGTGTTGCTAGCTCCACGCTCTCTCCCTCTGACTACATCTTTCTCCTGTTACTCAGTTAACTACCGCCAACTTAAGTCCCAGGCTTTGATGAGGAGTTTGTTGGCCTGAGAATTCATACTTAACTGACCACGTGCTCAATGTCATGGTGTTGGCGAGCAGTCATAATCATTTCATCTAAAATGTCTAGTTGTGTGATGTTCTTTCTCCCTAATCAATATGCCTTCTCTTTTTGTTGTTTTATTTTATTTTAGGTCCTGAAGGGTGTAATTTGTTCATTTATCATTTGCCACAAGAGTTTGGTGATCATGAATTAGCTCAAATGTTTATGCCATTCGGAACACTGATCAGTGCAAAGGTGTATGTGGATCGTGTCACACTTCAGAGCAAATGTTTCGGTAAGTTTCATAGCTACTGTGACGGTAGAAGACAATACAATTTGGTATCTTTACATAGGAAAATTATGTACTTGTAAGTCGTTTGCACACATCTTCCGCGCTGTGCTACTTCAGGCCCTTTCCTTTGTGTTTCTTATTCTTCTTTTCGTATCTTTTATGTTTCACCTCAACACTGGTTAATTTCCCTCTCTCTTTGACGTTGAATTTATCTCTCTGCTATTTGATATTTTTATTTCGATCAACGTCTGTTTATGTATTGCTGATAAATCCTGTCAGTAGTACACACCACACACGTCTCTTCGACAAATAGTTCCGAGTGGATCCACACTGACCTTCTTGGTCCTCCCTGTCCCAGTTATACTTTGATGTCGCTGTATTTCTGAAGTTGGCTGACGTTGCCCCGTTTCTGTTTACTTCCTCTGTTGGTGGTATAGAGAGTACCATGTCTCTCGGTGACAGTGTATATAACCCTTTCCAGTTCGAATGGAGTTTCTGCGAACCTGACTCACATTTAACCTTGAACTTTCTTTCTTTATATCTTACTCGATCGCTCTTTTGAGACTTCGTGACGTCTTTCTCCTGTTTATGCTTTACATTCTTGATGGCTTCTTTCCGTTCCATTCTCAGCCATTCTCGGCATATTCCACTCCTAGTGAAGGAGCTAGTTTGTGCTGTATATTTTTAGCCGTGGTTTCCTCTCATATATCAGTTGAAATGGTGATTTCTTTGTTTTCACTCTTTCCCCAAGTTGTCCTTTGATAAATATTTTTTGGTAATTTATGAGAAATTTAGAGCGTCGTTGATAGACTCAGACAAAACGCCAGGAGAAAAAAAGTTCAGAGGTTTCATAAAATCTCGCGTGTTGGTAATCGTATATTTCTAATTGTTGGCTCTTTACTTAGATTATTGACTGTCATAAAATAGCACCTACACAGACTGTCTAAGCCCGTCATTTCGAGTTTACGCGTGATCTGCATCAATGAGGGGGGGGGGGGGAACTGAATGTTATCACTGTTGTGACTCTTAGTTTAGTCTATATGCAGCATCTTTATTCAGGCAGTTCAAAGACCCTTTATCTAAATACATTTCGATTCACAGTGTATGGTTTCAGCGTCGGCGGTTCGGTGGTAGAATGAACGCTTGCCAACCAGAGTTTGACCTTCGGTTACTGAGGCACTCCTGAACCTTGTTAAACAGCCGCTAGCCTGTAGGTATGTAAAGTATGAGATTAGGCAACCGCACCTCATAAAAATGCAACATCACTGCTACCAAAATTTCAAAGCTCTCGCCTGAAGCCGTATGTACCAGATTATGTTAAGTGGTGATGCTTTTTATACCTACCTCATAAACGATGGTGTTTTTGAAACACCTTACCGGTTAGCTAGCTAACTGAGAAGACCTTAGGCACTACGAAATATGTCATCTATTGTAGTCTGTAATTATCGTGTTGTTGAGTTATGATTGGTAAGATAGGAAATCTACTCCACACTAGTCAGCACCTTTTACTGCTTTGTTGGAGACACTGGAATATACACCACGAATTGAAAGCCTAGATTATCTCGTATACACATCCTATTGGCTAGCTAAGTTTCACAAGTGTAGGATGTCCCATGTAAGCCAATAGTATAATTATAGAAAGTCGGTTGCATCCTTGTTCCTTGTGTTGTTATTATTATTATTACTTTGTCCAATTTTCCTAAGGGGATTTCGTGTATGGTCTACTACACAGATGAGATTATTGTTCTAAGTATGTGTATTTTTAGTAAATGAGTTGAGAAATTTTCAGAACTATTTCCGGTCAAAAGAGCAAGTTAAAAATAGGACTGCGAATAGGGAAATAACATCTAATGAAAGTAAAACAAAGAGAAAGATAGGATCTAGTGTGTTATTTGAAAATTTCTTCCAAGTTAAATACACGATAAGACCAAACCTCTTAAAGCGAGTGAGATGAATGCATCCGGGCGCGCACATAGCTGAGACGGCGGAGGCAGTAGCGATCCAAAAGTTCAAGCAACTCCAGTCTATGTATTCAAGAGAAATAAGTCCAACTGTTGTCTCTGTCTGTCTGTCTGGATTCAACATAGAACTTCGCACCGAAGTGCAGCAGTTGGAGTCGCCACGTTCCAAATAGCACACAAAGGTAGACAAGAAGATGAGTGATGAAGAGAATCAATAGAGTTTCGACAAGTATAAGAGTGAAACAGAATGAGTAATAGTAGAAAGGAATATGAAAGATTACAGAGACTGAATACATCTGCACCACTGACAACGATTTTGAACCATGTCACCTATTGCCTGTCTCCAGTCATTGATTCTTAGAGTCCCGAGGGCGGGCCACAACCCGGAAGTCTGCATCTCTCTACCTGACTCAGTTTAACTGTCAAGGATTTCATGGATTGATGAGGCCATGTTTTTGTTTGGCATGGCACCGCTTACTCTTTTCCAACCAACCTGCACCTATATCAGCTAGTAATGCCCGTCGAGGGGTGGAGGCGATGGTTAGGCATGGGCAGCACGTGACCTAGCCATCTCAATGTATGTAACTTTATAGCCTCTTCTATTGATTTTCCCTCTTTGCCCAACACTCTACGCCTAACGTCAACATTACTTACCTTATTTTCCACCTAACGCGAGAAAGAGATCGTAGACATCTATGATCAAAAGCAGTCAACCTTTTCATGTCTCCAACTCGTATTGGCCATGTTTCAGAGCAATAGAGAAGGACGGAGCGAACTGTTGAGCAGTACACACGTCCCTTGGTTGATAGCTGGATGTCACGCCTACGCCAGAGATGGTGTAAGTTAGCGAAAGCAGCCCGAGTTTTTGGATCCGTGCTGCGATTTCGTCCCCAATCAATCCGTTGGTGCTGATACAACTTCCCAAATAGGTGAAGTGGTCAATATGTTCTATCACTTCACTCCCTATCACTAAGCTAGGAGTTGAGGTAGTCCAGTCATTCCTATCACCAATCAATCCGTTGGTGCTTATACAACTGTTTTCTCTAGCATAGCCATCAATCCAATCTGGTATTTTTGAGCTTAAGAACCAACCAGATAGTAGTCCCCATCAGTTGAAATCATTCCTCTTATTTATTTTACTTTACACTTCCTTTACAGGTTTTGTCAGTTTCGACAATCATACAAGTGCACAGAATGCAATTCAAGCAATGAATGGTTTTCAAATTGGCATGAAACGATTGAAAGTTCAACTGAAACGACCAAAAGGTGAGTTAACGATCGAGAGAGAGACAGAAGGAAAGAGAGTGAGCCTTGATTTTTCTACGAAAAGAAACACAACTATATGTGTGACCTTATGGATGTATAAAGTTGAAAGAATCCTGCTGTGTTCACCTTCCATTTCTGAACTATTGGGCAGCTGTAGGATTTCTATTCACGGTGTCGTCGAATTCTTCGGTATCAGATGTTTGACATCAAGCTTTTTTTAGATATTTATTTATATTTATTAGTCGAGTATGTGCTAATATTCGCCCTTGTTATTAGGTCGTTTATTTGCATTGGTGTAATCCTTCTTCGTCTCTATATATGTATGTACTCTCACTAATATGTCACATATTTGTATGCATGTGTGTCAATGACTGTAGGCAGTAACCCATCGTCAAATTCATCGTCGAACAGAAAATCTCGTGATACACGTGAGTCAGGACAAAAACAAGGTGCAGGCTTGACTGCTACTACTACTACTACTGCTATTCCACCGTCTGGGGACATCAACACGACAATAATAACAACTACGACAACAACAACGCCAACCACCACTCCTCCGACTTTATATTCTGAGGTAAATAAGTGTTCGATGAGTAATGTCAACTCACATACATACACGTACATACAGCTAGCTAGCTAGCTAATCGTCAATTCATTTGTGTTGCTCTGATCGGATCAATTCGTATTAAATATCGATTACAGCTTGAGTGTGTGTGCTTATTTGTTCATAATCCTGTGTGCGTGTTTGATGTTGTCAAGGCGTATCTTGTTATTCGTGTCTACTCTCTGTCGGTGTGTTGTTTATCACTATCCTTTTTATGTCTGTCTCTAACTCCTATGAGATGTTCGTTTATCTGTCTATAGTGTATAGTGTTCACAGTTGTTGTTGTTGTTGTTGCGTAACACCATTTGTGTGATTACATCACTTGTTTATGTCTTTGTCCGTGTGTATAGATGTTATTTGTGTATTCTTCACTTTAATGTGTGACATTGAGTGTAAATTACCCCGTCGTCGTCCCTTTTATCTCACATTTGTTCGGTATGCATGTTTAGCTTAGCAAAAGGTGGAGTTTGTTATGTGAAGTGAAGGAGAAGCAGGTTGGATGGGTGGGTGGGGAAGGCTGTGGATGAGATAGTTCGATAACATGACATGGCCGAATGAAATTACCATATATTTTTTTATCTTAGCTGGTTGTACTTTAACATTCTTGGGGATGAAAAATAATTATCACCATAACTGAATTTAGCTAGAGATATTTATATATATTTGGATTCTGCCAGATAACGTGATTCTAAGCGATATGATCATGGTTATTATTGTTATTATTTATTGTTCCACTGCGGGTGCCAACAGCACATCTCCACTTTGTCCTATTCTCTGCCATCCTCTTTAACTGCATCCACGATTACTCATAGTCTCTGATCTCTCCTCTTCACATGATTTACTGAATGTCACCCTAGGACACCCGCTAAACTTGTCGTTACTCCACTCGGGTTCCACTCGATCGATGTCAATTGACAGTCTTCTGAGCGTTTTTCCAGTCAATCTCCATTATCTTCGGCATCTTTATGGGATGAAGGGTTCTTGTGATTTTCACTATGGAGTGTGTCGTGCGCAGCTAGCTATATTCTCCAGCCTGTTCGAGATGTTTTCCGTGACATGGAGGAGCCTGACCCATATTGATGAAGAACTGACTAACTTGACATTGGTATTGAAAATCTAAATTTTGTTATCAACTCTGTGAATGAAGCAGATTTCTAAACTGATTTCAGACTGATGATTGTCTGCCTTTGCATACTTAACCATGAGGGGTGGGGGGAAGGGGGCTTGCGAGAACACAGCGGGAGTTGTCTTTTGTACACGAGCGTCAGTAGTAAGTAGTGTAACCAAAATTAGGATTGTCCATTGAAATGAGAAGGCAACTATAAGAGATTTCAAAATTCTATCAACTAGTGAGAATAAGAAGGTCTCTGCACGCAAAGAAAACAGAGGAATCCCTCAGTGTTAATATATTAGCAGTGAAGAAAATAGGTCTTAGTTCAAAGATTCAGGAGAACTAGGTAAATGATGAAAATTTCAAGAGGATATATCTTTTGCTGGGGTGGTCACTGATTGAGTAGAGTGTGTTATTTCACATCGTAGTTCTTTCCAATTTCGTACTATTTATATAAATCCGTGAGAGAACAACGCAACTTGTCTGGGGTTCGAATCCTCACCGACATACTCTCTTACTACCTCGCTTAACTGGTAAAGTAACCCGGGTAAAGGTTCGGCGATGGACTAGCAACTCCATTCCGTAAAATAAAAAAACAATGCTACCGAACATTTGAAGCTCTATGTTCCACTAAGAACACAAAGGAATAAGGAAAGAAACAGTCATTCCAAATAAAGATGCTGAAAAAATATACGGTGTCGTCTGGGTGGTTGGAGTAGATTAATTACTCCCCAGTTGACAATTTTGGAAGGGCCACATCCATCCCATCTACTCTCTCAGATTCCGAGCATTGAGCATCCTTTGCAGCCTGGTACATTTTACAAACATTCCACGTCCTCATTCTTATTTGTTAATCTGATCTAAAGAAGACAAATTGGCTGACTGACTGACTTTCCTATATCTTTCGACTGCCCTCTCTGTCATTTCGCCTCTACGATTCCAGCGAAAAACAGGTTTGTCCTTTTAAACATTTTTTGTATTTCTAATATTTTTTTCAGTGGGAAGTCGTGACCAGTAGGGTGCAGCAGGTCGGGTGTTAGGAAAAATGCTCGCCGAAGACATTGGCTAGCGGTTGCACTATATCTTGAATTGGCAGAAGTTAGAATTCATGGGCCATTGGATTGGGTCCCAGTGGCTGGCGACTGACCTCCTGTAGAACTGACTCTACTGTACACTTTGATTGGATACTAGTTACCTAGTATCCATGATTTCCTTCAAGGGGATTGCAGATATGCCTGGCTGACTGTTAAGTGTCAACTAGCACGAAGCCTAGTTCGTCCAAGGCTTCCTTTCGATTACCTCCAATCATCTAACATAGACATTTAACCAAATCTACCTTGACCGATTGTAGATTGGATGAATCAAAAGTCCAAATATAGAATCAAACGCCTATTTATTGTTTTTATGAAAATGTGAATAAATTTTGGCTGACAACAACAAGCCTAATGTCTGTGAGAGACAGCAGCATCTCTCATTGACTGACTCACTGACCAAGGTTGACAAGATTGTCGCATGTACACACCTGTCTTTAGTTTAGAAGTTGTTGTATGCAATGATTAGTCAGTCATTGCTTCTTGCTTGCTAATCCGAATCATACATCATCACACGTTGTCACACATGCACACACACACATCTCAACATGTTCGTTTTAAGAAAACGTTTTCTTTCAACGTGTGTGCCTGTGTGTGTGCTGGTGTGTGGTACAAGACGATGGATGACTTATATATCAAATTCCCTTGAGTCCAATCACCTGTCTTGTTGTCCTACCTATTAGAGAAGAGAACAACAAGTATTGACTTGTTTTCTTTTGCTTTGCATCACAAAAAAGAGATAAGTTGTTCTTGTTGAATGTGTGATGATAGAGAAGCACTATCTATTCAACAACAACAGCATTTCACTACTCCGCCTACTACTACATCTATGCACGTGCGCGTCTCCATGCAAAAGCAAAAGCGGAGTGACGTGACAGAAAGACACTCGATGTCGGTAGCGTGTCTGTGTATCAATGTTGCATGCAATATTTGTCCAGTTTTTTTCCTTGTTCTTCTTGTATTTCCTGTTGGCATGTTTGTCTTATCTTCCCTCCCCCGTCTCTCTCTTTCTTTATGTGTATGTGTGCGTGCGTGCGTGTTAATTGTGTGGTGATGATGGCATGTATGGTGATAGCCGGACGGTACACATGCGCGTTTACGCGTGTATCTCTGTGTTTTGGGTGGAAATGGAAATAATAATGGACGATAACCAAGCCAGCAACCAGTAGATTTTCTTTAGTCATATCCAACCCAATCTATGTCGATTCAACTGTGTGTACAATACAGTGTGATTATATGTGCTTGCGTCTGTGTAAGCCATTTATCTAACAGCATTCCATTGCTTCTGCTGCTGCCGCTGCTGTTGTTGTTGCCACTCGTCTAAGGCTTCTGTGTCTTCACATGTCTATTCTGTCTATTCTGTTTTTCTTTTATTGTCTTTCAGATAGTCGCAAACCCTACGGAAACAGTCACCATTCAAACACCACAACAACAGCAGCCAACAGTAGTGCCAGCGGTATGAAAAAAGGCAACTAGAAGAAGAAGACGGAGGCCGATATTGGTGATGGTGCTAAACATCATCACAACAGTTCTACCTGCCCCCCCCCCATTTTTTATATTCCAATAACAAGTTCTGACTATTTTAATCTTTATCTTTACTGTTTCTAATACCATGGTTAGGTTACTATTGCAGCTATATTACTATTATTATTATTATTACAACAACTACTACTACCATTGATGAACATAATCACTCCATTCGTCGTCATTCTCTTTTTATTTTCAAATTTTTTGCATCCTGCCTCTTCCCTCTTGTATTCACATTCTTCATTCTACTTTCCCTTCCAACCGACCGGCCGCCGCCTCGCCTCGCCTCCTCCTTCTTCGTCGTCTTCTCAATGTCCGTCAGAGCGAGCGAGAGAGATTGAGAGAGAATCTTCTGTGTCTTTTTTCCTGTCAAAAAAAACAGACAAACAAACGAACACGCGACACTCTTGTTCAATGATCAATTGAAATTAGATTTTTATATATACTTATTAGTAATTCTATATATTCAAAAAGAATATCCATCCATCTATATACATCTATTCATCTATCTTTCTATCTATCTATCTATATGCATACATAAACACATACCCATTTATTATATGCTTAGTATCTCTCTATTTTTGTTGAAAAACATTTAGGATGTGGAAGGCAAAAAACTTTCCATACAAAAACACAAACACATAAAGACAGCAAAAAAAATAATTAAGAGGGTATTCTTATTACTATTCTTTATACGAGAAATATTACATAAAGGTCTTATTTTTATTAAAAAACACATTTGCACATACACACGAAATGATGAGGGCGAATATGCCGAATGGATGATATCACTATATTTGAGAAGTGTTTATATTATCAGCGCAGATGTAGTAGGTAGGTGGCTCTCCTCAAATCATCGTCCGTCATCGCCATCATCATCGTCATCTTTCACTGATTATCACCATGGTCGTTACCTTATTATTATTATTATTATTACTACGCCTCTTTTCTCATTTTCTTCACTTGTGTAACTCATCTCCTTCTCCTTTTCTTATTCCTTCTTTTTCTCCGTCTATCGTCGACTTTTTCCCACCTCTTGATATGTAGATGTTTTCTTCCAGTTCTTAACACGATAATTCGGGTATATGTGCATTTCTGAAGTTGACGCGAGGTAGGCAGGTAGGTAGGTACCTTCCTGATATCCTCAGTCGTCGGTGTTGCTCTTCTTTTTCTCCTTCTTCTTCTGGTCCTCTTTCTGATGAATATTTTGGTAAATTTTGCTATGAGACTACTACTACTAC